GGCTCAGAGGTGATTTTTGGGGTGAAATGATGGGTTTGGTGGCTCAGAGGTGATTTTTGGGGTGAAATGATGGGTTTGGGGGCTCAGAGGTGATTTTTGGGCTGCAACCTCGATTTCTGACATTTCCAATTGCTGGCGGACGCCGCTCAGGGTGCGGCTCCGGTTGTTTGGGGGTCGCTGATGATTTTTGGGGCTCACTGGTGACTTTGGGCTTGGCAGGAGGAGCTGGAGGCCGAGCGGGGCCGGCTGGTGCAGGAGCACGAGGAGCTGGTGGCCGAGCTGGCGGCAGCACGGCAGCAGCGCCACAGCGAGAAGCAGCAGGTGGGTGGCCCGATGTCCCCAGCCCCGTGCCACCCCCGATGTCCCCAGTCCCGATGTCCCCGGCCCCGTGCCACCCCAGATGTCCCCAGTCCCGATGTCCCCAGCCCCATGCCACCCCCGATGTCCCCAGCCCACTGCCAACCCCAGATGTCCCCAGTCCCGATGTCCCCAGCCCCGTGGCACCCCCGTGTCCCCCAGGCTCTGGCGCTGCAGGAGGAGGAGCGGGTGGCCCTGGCGGGGACACTGGCAGGGCTCCAGCAGAGCCTGGACAAGGCCATGGCCGAGCTGGAGCAGCGGCGGCAGGAGGTCACCGGCCACCAGGAGAAGGAGCAGGTGGGTTTGGGGGGCTCCCGGATCCCACAGAGCCCCAGAGAGCCCCAGAGAGCCCAGGTGTTCTCGCAGTGCCAAAGCGTCCCGCTCTACTGCAGCCAGCCCTGCCCGGGTGTCCCCCGTGTCACCCCCCAGCTCCTGGGCGTCCCCCACTGCCGCCACTCCGGTCTCAATATCCCCCGTGGTCCCCCCATTGCAGCCCCCCATTCCTGGGTACCCCCCAACCCTCCTTGAGCCTCACCCCCACCACTGCAAGACCCCCCCAGCGTCCCCATCTCTCGCAGCCCCCCAACTTCACCCCCCATGTCCCCCGGCAATGGGGCTCAGCTGTGGTACCCGAGCCCCCTCATCCCATCCCTGACCCACCCCCGCTGTCCCCCCGGGGTCCCCCGAAGGCCGGGGGGGGTCTCAGGGTGGGTGTGCTGTCCCCCCGGGGTCCCCCGAAGGCCGGGAGGGGTTTCAGGGTGCCGTCCCCCCCAGGTTTTGGCCGCGGAGCTGCGCTCGCTGCGGGCGCGGGCGGAGGAGGCGGCGCTGAGCCACGAGCGGGAGGCGAGGACGCTCCGGGAGCGAGCGGCAGCGGCGGCCCAGCAGCGGGACAGCGCCCTGCGGGAGGTGAATCCCGCACAAAAAACCCTTCCCGTGCCCCCCAAAACCCCGCAATGGCCCGAGGTTCTGCTCCGGGCAGGCGGAGGAGGCGCGGGCGCAGCTGCGGGCGGCGGCGGAGGCGCGGCGGGAGCTGCTGGAGGCGCAGCGAGAGGCTCGGGAGAGCAGCCAGGGCGAGCGGCGGAGGGCGCAGGAGGCTCGGCGGGCCCTGGAGGACGCGGAACGGGAGAAGGAAGCGCTGCAGAGCTCCAGCGAGGAGCTGCGGGCCGCCCTGCGGCGCTCCGAGGGGGAGCGCATCAGGTCCGGGATGAGGGACGGCCTCGCCGGGAGGGGCAGGGAGAGGGAATGCCCGAGCTGCAAGGGACAGAAATCGGAGGGGTGGGTGAGACGAGGGGCTGCCCGAACTGGGAGATGCAGGAGCTGGGAGATCTCGGGATGAGGGAAAGCAGGAGCTGGGAGATGTTCAGGATGAGGAAAAGAAGGATCTGGGAGATGTGGAAGTTGGGAGATGCTCGGGATGAGGGAAAGCAGTTCAAAGATTCAGGAGTTGGGAGATGCAGGAGTTGGGAGATGCTCGGGATGAGGGAAAACAGGAATTGGGAGATGCAGGAATTGGAAGATGCAGGAATTGGGAGATGTTCGGGATAAGGAAAAGCAGGAGTTGGGAATTTCAGGGGTGACCCCCCCATCCTGGAGGGGGATGCCTGCTGTGCTGGGGGTGATGCTGGGACACCAGGGGCGTTGGGATGGGGCGATGCTCCAGGTCAGGAGGACACTGAGGAGCAGGAGACGGAAATGTGGGGCCGGGGGACAGCCGGGATGGGCCCAGCCCCCGCTCCCCGCTGCCGCAGCCTGAAGCGCTCCGGGGAGGACAAGGAGCAGCGGCTGGCGCTGCTGGAGGCGGCGAGGGCGGCGGCGGAGCGGGAGGTGTCGGAGCTGCGGGCGGCGCTGCGGGGGCTGGAGAGCGCCCGCCTGGAGAACCGCCGGGAGCTGCAGGAGCTGCGCCGACAGGTCAGGGACAGCGGGGGGACAGCGGGGGACAGCGGGGGGAACAGCGAGGTGACAGCGGGAGGACAGCGGGGGACAGCGGGGGGGACACAGAGCCTCCCCGAAGCGCTGGTCCCCCCGCGGGCAGGTGAAGGAGCTGGACAGCGAGAACAGCCGGCGGGGCCGGGAGCTCGGGGAGCTGCAGGCCAGGGTGGCCCTGGAGGAGCAGCGGGAGCAGCGGAGCCGCCGCGAAGCCTCCGGCCTCAGGCAGAAGGTGGCGGAGAGCGAGGCCGGCACCGAGGCTGCCAGGAAGGAGGTGTGGGAGTCCCCAGGATCCCATTGCGGGAGTCCCACATCCCCAAGTGTCCCTGTCCGCCCCGGAGCTGGCTGTCCTGGGGCTGGAGGTGTCCCTGTCCCCTCAGGCCCAGCCTGTTGTCCCCAATCATCGCCATCGCCGTGGTGTCCGGTGTCCCTGGGTGTTCCCATTGCTCCATCCCCGCATCCCTGGGGTTCCCCGGGACCCCACTGCTGCATCCCTGGGGTTTTCTGGGACCCCACTGCTGCATCCCGTGTCCTTACGGGTTCCCCACCCCTCCCAGTCCCGTTCCCCGTCCCCTCAGTCCCGTTCCCAGTCCTGTTCCCCCATTCCCAGTCCCGTTCCCAGTCCCATTCCCAGTCCCATTCCCAGTCCCGTTCCCAGTCCCATTTCCAGTCCCGTTCCCGGTCCCGTTCCCAGTCCCGTTCCCGTTCCCGTTCCCGTTCCCGTTCCCGTTCCCTCACCGGTTCCCGGCCGTTCCCGCAGCTGCAGCAGCTGCAGCAGCGCCTGGCAGCGGCGGAGCTGCAGTTCCGGCAGCGGGAGCAGGAGCTGGCCCGCAGCCTGGAGGAGGCTCGGGGCAATGAGAAGAAGCTGCTGGCGGACGCTCGGAACCTGCAGCTCAAGGTGGAGGCGGCGCGGGCCGAGGTGGCGGAGCTGGGGCTGCGGCTGAGCGCGGCTCAGGGCCGGGCGCAGGGGCTGGAGGCGGAGCTGGCCCGGGGCGAGGAGCAGCGCAGGGCCACCGAGTCCCGCCTGGGCGGCCTCGAGGCCACCCTGCGCCGCACCGTGGCCGTGGCCAGGGCCAAGGGTGAGCGGCCCCGGGGGCACC